TTGCTCCTAAATTGAATTTTCGAAATACTCTCTTCTTTAGCTCATAAAATTAATTTTCAAAATATTCTCTTCTTTAGCTCATAAAATGATTTTCAAAATACTCTCTTCTTTAACTGATTAAATTATTTTCAAAATACTCTCCCTAGCTCAAAAAATGATTTTTCAAAATACTCTCATTAGCTCATATAAAATAATTTTTCAAAGTACTTTCCTTAGCTCAAAAAATAATTTTTCAAAATATTCTGCTTATTTCATAAAATGATTTTTAAAAATACTCTCCTTAGCTCACAAAATGATTTTTTAAAATACCCTCCTTTGCTCCTAAAATAATTTTTTAAAATATTCCTCCTTTGCTCCTATAAAATGATTTTTCAAAATACTCCTCTCATATGCTCCTAAAATGATTTTTCAAAATACTCTCTTCTTTAGCTCATAAAATAATTTTTCAAAATACTCTTCTTTGCTCCTAAAATGATTTATTAAAATACTCTCTCCTTTGCTCCTAAAATGATTTTTCAAAATACTCTCCTTAGCTCATAAACTAATTTCTCAAAATACTCTCCTTTGCTCCCTAAAATGATTTCTCAAAATAATCTCTTATTTAGCTCATAAAATGATTTTTCAAATTACTCTCCTTTGCTCCGAAAATAATTTCTTAAAATACTCTCTCCTTTGCTCCTAAAATGATTTCTTAAAATACTCTCTCTTTTGCTCCTAAAATGATTTCTTAAAATAGTCTCTCCTTTGCTTCTAAAATGATTTTTCACAATACTCTCCTTAGCTCATAAAATGATTTTTCAAAATACTCTCCTTTGTTCCCTAAAATGATTTCTCAAAATACTCACTTCCTTAGCTCATAAAATGATTTTTAAAAATACTCTCCTTTGCTCCAAAAATGATTTCTCAAAATACACTATTCTTGCTCATAAAACGGTTTTTTAAAATACTCTCCTTTGCAGCAAAAATGATTTCTAAAAATACTCTCTTCTTTAGCTCATAAAATGATTTTTCAAAATACTCTCCTATGCTCCTAAAATGATTTTTCAAAATACTTTTTTTTAAGCTCATAAAATGATTTTTCAAAATACTCTCCTGGGCTCCTAAAATGATTTCTTAAAATACTCTCTCCTTTGCTCCTAAAATGATTTTTCAAAATACTCTCCTTATCTCATAAAATGATTTTTCAAAATATTCTCCTTTGCTCCTAAAATGATTTCTTAAACAACTCTCTCATTTGCTCCTAAAATAATTTTTCAAAATACTCTCCGTATCTCATAAAATGATTTTTCAAAATACTCTTCTTAGCTCATAAAATGATTTTTAAAAATACTCTCCTTAGCTCATAAAATAATTTTTCAAAATACCCTCCTTTGATCTTAAAATAAATTTTTAAAATACTCTCTTCTTTAGCTAATAAAATGATTTTTCAAAATACTCTCCTATTCCGTAGCTCATAAAATGATTTTTCAAAATACCCTCCTTTGCTCCTATAATGATTTTTAAAATAGTCCCTTCTTTAGCTCATAAAATGAATTTTAAAAATATTCTATTTTACTCCTAAAATGATTTTTCAAAATACTCTCCTTAGCTTATAAAATGATTTTCAAAATACTCCTAAAATGAATTTTCATAATACTCTCTTCTTTTAGCTCATAAAATTATTTTTCAAAATACTCTCTTCTCTAGCTCATTAAATTATTTTCAAAACACTATCCTTAGCTCATATAAAATAATTTTTCAAAATACCCTCCTTTATTCCTATAATGATTTTTTAAAATAGTCCCTTCTTTAGCTCATAAAATAAATTTTAAAAATATTCTATTTTGCCCCTAAACTGATTTCTTAAAATACTCACTCCTTTCCTCATAAAATGATTTTTCAAAATACTCCTAAAATGAATTTTCAAAATACTCTCTTCTTTAACTCATAAAATTATTTTTCAAAATACTCTCTTCTTTAGATCATTAAATTATTTTCAAAACATTCTCCTTAGCTCATATAAAATAATTTTTCAAAATGCCCTCCTTCGCTCCTATAATGATTTTTTAAAATAGTCCCTTCTTTTGCTCATAAAATGAATTTTAAAAATATTATATTTTTGCTCCTAAAATGATTTCTTAAAATACTCACTCCTTTTCTCATAAAATGATTTTTAAAATTACTCTCCTTAGCTTCTAAAATGAATTTTCAAAATACTTTCCTTAGCTCATATAAAATAATTTTTTTAAAATACTCTCCTTTTCTCATTAAATAATTTTTCAAAATACTCTTTTTAGCTCATAAAATGATATTTAATCTTAGCTCATAAAATGATTTTTCAAAATACCCTCCTTTGCTCCTAAAATGATTTTTTAAAATTGTCCCTTCTTTAGCTCATAAAAGGATTTTTAAAAATATTCTCCTTAGCTCCTAAAATGATTTTTTAAAATTGTCCATTCTTTAGCTCATAAAATAATTTTTAAAAATATTCTCCTTTACTCCTAAAATGATTTTTCAAAATACTCTTCTCAGCTCATAAAATAATTTTTTAAAATACTCTCTTCTTTAGCTCATAAAATAATTTTTCAAAGTACCGTCCTTTGCTCCTAAAATAATTTTTTCTTCTTTAACTCATAAAATGATTTTTCAAAATACTCTCTTCTTTAGCTCATAAAATGTTTTTTCAAAATACTCTCCATTGCTCCTATAATGATTTCTCAAAATACTCTCTCCTTATTCAATATTTATACATGAGTTTTGTTTCATTTGGGCTATGAAATTTTGTCGTTATGGGCTCAGATTTTTTTTTTTTTGTTTTTTGGGTGGGCCCTTAAATATTTTGGCCTTCATATTAATCTAACTTGTGCAATCGGCAATTTATATCGTGCACAGGACGTGCAAAACGACGTCGTTTTGCTTTTTAAAAAAAAAAATATGCTTTTCCGTGTTTGCTGTTAATTTGTTAATAAAAAAAAAATTATGTTTTGAAAATGTACATAATTATATTTTAAAATGTATATAATTGTATATGAGAATGTACATAATTGTATAACAAAATACACATAAACTTTTAACTATTTAAAAAAATCGCATGTTCAAATGTACATAAATGTATAAAATAATGTACATAATTGTATACCAGAGAATATACATAATTGTATAACATAATGTACATAATTATATAATATAATACACATACACTCTGTTGCATCGACTCCCCACACAACTTAATAAAACGACGTCGTTTTGTGAGGCGCAGGACACACAGTGATATATGCACTGTGGTGCAGGATATAATGATTGTGTGCAACCCACAATAAAAAAAAAACATTTTATTACATTTTTTTGGGTATTCTTAATACACATTTGTTAAACTTTTGTTATGAATTCCAAAATTTAATTAAATATATAGTATGTTTCATTTTTAATATTGATACAATTTTATAATCATGATCTAGATTTTTTGTTTCTTACACATTTTTGTACATTATAATTTTAGAAAATATAAATTCACAATCAAGTACAAAAGTCAAGTACAAACATTATCACATGTTGGATTGTTATTAAAAAAAAAAAATTATTAACAATGGTCAATTGTACGTAGAAGTTTCGAGGGTAAACACCACTCAAAATGTTGTATACAAAAATTTTTTTAATAATTTATAATTTTATTTCTCTTCAATGTTATCAAATATTTTTAATTTTGTTTTCTATGTTTTCAACCTTTAATCTTTTTTAATTAAAATATAACAATATTGTTCTTTTATTATTACAAGTTCTAAAAACAATATAGTACTAATTTACAATATACTTAGACTTAAAAATTAAAGGTTTGCCAACTGCTGAGGGCACTACTTGAGTAATAATAATATGTAGGCACAATATTCACTTTATTATACCTTATTACCCAAAAAAAAAAATCACTTTATTATATAACCTTGGGATGTGTGCGTTAGTGTAATAATGTGTTACCTAAATGTCTTCATGTCTTTATCTTGAAGAAGTATATGTTTAATCATGGACAAATGTACGTAACAGTTTCAAGGTAAGTAATACAATGGGGTTAAAGATTTTGATATGTAAAGATAATAGAGAGTTTTTAAGTACGATAAAAAATGTTGTATATAAAGAAATTTTCAATAGTTTGTAATTTACTCAAATAGTTGGTTATTTATTAAATTAGTTCATTTATTTATATTTCCATAATTTTCTTTTATTTTTATATATTGTATTATATTATAAATTTGTAATATTATATTGTCAAAATTAATTACCGTGCATCGCACGGGTGCAAATACTTGGTGAAGATAATGGAGGATTTAAGATATTCGTACATGGTTGATAGCACATTTCCTTCATATCATACTGATAACATTGATCATAACCATCTCCATAGTAGAGCTATTTTGGCCCCAACATTAGATGTTGTTGACCAGGTCAATGAATACATGAACGATATGAATGAAGCCTCTACCAAGACGTATTTGAGTTGTGATTCTGTGTGCAAGTCAGATACTAATGTAATCTGAGATTCACACAACAGAATTTCTAAACAGTTTGAAATTTTTAAATTTTTAATAATGTGTAATTATTTTTAAGAACGTGAAGGAGAAGAACAAAGAAAAGGAAAAAGCCTTCTCAAATGTGCACAACAAGATTTGAACAACAAACCCCCACCCTTATGTATTGTTCACCTGAACTTGTTCCACTCTTTCATTTAGAGAAGTCCAAATTTTTTTTCTCCAAAACTGTACATGAGGTTGGAAAATGGAGAAGGTGGAATAAAACATTTAGTAAACAACTTCTCCAATTTTTATTTTTTCACTTTTCAATTTTTCTATTTTTCTGGAAAATTTTCTATCTTCTATCTTCTATTTTTTCAAGTTGGTAAATATGCCCTACAAATTCCAATTGTTTAAAATCGAACCGGATCCACCCATTAGTACCACACCCCCGTTTCCCGGGTCGGTCCATCGTCTAGCTCGTGCTGTTTGTGCTATATATCTACAAAAAACCCTCATTTATAAATTTTGATTTTTTCTTCTTCCTCCCTTTCTACACCTCTCCTTCCCGCTCCTTACTCTCGACCAGGTCGAAGCCGGAGAGAGCCTTCTGTGTTTTGTCTTTCCGTTTCTCGGCCTGCAATGAACTGCTCAAGTAAGCTTTTTCCCTCTCTAGAGTCTCGTACAGACGCACTGTGTAACATGTGAACAGCTGTAACATAATTTCTGTAGTTGCTAATCTCTGATCTGTTTTTACAGTTTCCGGTGATGTCCCGGAGGATCCGGTAGTCTCAAAGAATTCCGGACTTCTGTTCGAGAAGCGTTTAATCGAACGTCACATCTCTGTTTGTTTCTTATTTCTCCTGCATTTATTTTCGCTGAAGTTTTATCACTTTTGTTTGTGTAACTTTGTTTTCCTCATTGAGTCATTGACATACATGTTAGACTACTAGAGATATGGATGTTTGAAGCAAGTAATGAGAGGCTTGAGTTTGCCAATGCTGTTTGTAAAGCAATTGGAAAAATTTTGAAATTTGGGAAAACGAGAATCCTTAAATAATATGGTATTCAATGAAGAGTCAAATGTCTTTAGTTGCAGTCTTGCAGGATTGTTTTTAGAGGATTTAAGCTATTCTTACATGGTCCTCTTTCTGTCTCTCCTGTGCATGGACACCTATAAATTATTTCATGGGTCTGGTTACTATTATCATTAGCAGTTTCTTTTGTTGTTCTCCTTTGTCTGTGCTCAAACTTACAGCTTTTGTGTGCCTGAAATATACTTTTCAATTTGCTTCCCCACTCCCCCCCTAATTTGAGCTTCTTTCATCGTCCAGGACTATGGAAAATGTCCAGTAACTGGAGAGCCTCTGACAATGGATGACATTGTACCAATTAAAACTGGAAAGGTATGTTTGATGATACCTTGGTGATTAGATGATCATTGTTAGGTTTACTAGTTAGTTTCATAGGATTTTATTATGTTAAACTTGATTTGACATGTGGCTCCTATTAGGTGGGCTAATATGTTTTCGATTTCATTGCAGATAGTGAAGCCCCGACCTGTCCAGGCTGCAAGTATACCTGGGATGTTGGGAATGTTTCAGATTGTATGTGTTTCCAATCTCTGAATTTCTGCATTCATTATGTGTACTCCATGACAATTTAATGGGAAAGGAAAGCAAAAGAAAGAAAGAAAAAAAAAATTAATTTGGTTGGATCTTGTATTCATCTAATTTGTTTATTGTCTGTGTTTAACAGGCAAATTATTCTTACACAATTTTCCCACTATTTGTTTTAAAACTTTAGTAAGTTGATATTTCCTCTTAATGTGGCCATGTGTGCCCCCATCCAAGCACCAGCTTCTGTTAGCATGCACTTAGGTCTTGTGAGATTTCTTTTTCCATCTAGTAGAGCTGGGCATTTTAGGAATGTAGAACAAATCTGATGAATTTGTGATGGTTTATTTAGCTTTATTACCTGATATTTTATTTTGTCTTTATTTTACTTCAATTAAGATGGAATTTAACTATTTTTAGGTTCTGTATTTTGCTAGTGATGCTACTTCTTTATATTTCTATTGCTTCATAATAATAGGAATGGGATGGTCTGATGCTATCAAACTTTGCATTGGAGCAACAATTACATACTGCAAGGCAGGAGTTAAGCCATGCTCTGTATCAGGTACGGATAGTTAGCCTTCTACTAGTTTAGTGTATGAATTTTTACCTTCCAATTCTTTAATTTCTGCATCTTTTTGTTTCGTCTGTTTTAGTTATTTATGGAGTACTACGGAGTATTTTCTTTCTTAACCTTAAATTTTTGGAAGAATACTTTTAATGTTTGATGCCCACATGAAATTGCTATGCTTTCTTGTTCCATATGTGCTGCGTGTCATTAAAGTGATTTGTGAATTTTATCTATGATTTGACAGCATGATGCCGCATGCCGTGTAATTGCAAGATTGAAAAAGGAAAGGGATGAGGCAAGGGAATTATTGGCTCACGCTGAAAGAGAGATACCCATGACAGCAGCTACTGCAACTGCAGCTAATACTCCCACATTGAGCAACGGGAAAAGAGGTTATCAATTGACTCCTCTAAATTTATTTTTATGTTCATTTTATCTATGCGTGTTGATTCATGTTATTTATTTTTGCCTATAGCTGCTGAGGATGAGGAGATGGGTCCTGAAGGCAAGAAAAGTCGCCCAGGGATTTCATCAGCTATTATTACAGAACTTACAGATTGCAATACTAACCTTTCACAGCAAAGGAAAAAGCGACAGGTACAAGTCATTTGGGAGCTTCTGAACATCAGACTGATTGTTAATTTCAGATTTTGGTCTTGTTTTCATGTTATTTCCTTTGACTTCCCCTCCAGATACCGCCAACATTGGCCCCTGTAGATGCTTTGGAGAGATACACCCAGCTGAACAGTTACCCTCTACACAAAACCAACAAGCCGGGCATACTCTCTTTGGACATCTGTTACCCTAAGGTACTAGCTTTCTTCTAATGTGCTAAGGGTAAAAGAAGCAATGATATGACACATTTCAACTGATACTCCTGAATCTCAGCAACAGTACAGTGGATTTTTTTTTCTTCCCATTTTTTTGATCACTAATATTCTTTATTTTCTTGTATATGTACTGTATAATTTGTCATGCTCATGCCAAACTGTGTTATTTCCTATCCATCAGGACATCGTTGCTACTGGAGGCGTTGACAATAATGCTATCATATTTGATAGATCTTCAGAACAGATTATATCTACACTAAGTGGTCACTCAAAGAGGGTCTGTTCAACTTTCAATACTTAAATTCCTTATCAACATTTGCCAAAGTGTTTGTTGCGTTTTCTGGTTACATACTTTTGAACTATTAACATTCTCTCCTGTATAGGTTACCAATGTCAAATTTGCTGTTGAGGGTGAAGTGGTGGTCACTAGTTCTGCTGATGAGGTGAACCAGAACCCTTGTTTTTGTGAACTTTATGCTTTCACAGTTCTACTTTCTGTTTTGTTTTTTATTTTGTTGGGGGAAAGGGGAGGGGAGTGGGGGCTCATATATGTTGAGCTTTGATCACAGAATTAATTTATGAGATTGCACCAATACTCCCACCTTTGATGAATTGTTGAGAAGGACAAGAAAAAAAATGTAGTGGGCAGAGAGGATGTTTATTCTATTTATATATAGTATAGTATAGCTTGCTCCCATCCCTGCATTTCTTAATCTATATTGAGTTATGGGGTGAATTTGAAATTTTATACATTACAAGATCATGATGTTACTGACACAGGATTACTGATGTGTATTGGTAAAAGGACTGTTGGCCCCAGCTAACTAGTTATTGATTCAAGTTATTCAAATAAAGAATACATGTATGCGCCAAATTTAAGAGAGAATACATGTGCTTTGTGCATTGCTTTAAGAATCATCTCCATTTCATTATTTTCAAACAATATTCCCTGAATTTGTCCAATATATTTGCTATTGTTATTGCCATATTTGAGTATTATTATTATTTAATAATAGTAATTAAATAATTTCATTCTAACTTGCAGACTGTTCGTGTATGGCAAGGATCTGAGAATGGAAGCTATGACTGTAGGCACATTTTGAAGGATCACACTGCAGAGGTTACTAATTTCTTACCCCATCATGAGCATATGTTTAATTGTGATTTTGATTTATAAATGTATTGGAATGAAACATGCTGGGTGTATTTTATTGGTTTGTTCTGATTAAGGTGGTTGTGTTGTTAATCTGGTGCCCAAATGATATCTCTTATTGTTAATCAAGGGTTTAACTTTCTGCTCATGTTTTACTTCTCTCAATTTTGGTAGGTGCAAGCTGTCACCGTCCATGCAACAAATAATTACTTTGTGACTGCTTCTCTTGATGGCACATGGTGCTTTAATGAACTTGCTTCTGGTTTATGCCTTGCCCAGGTTCCACATTAAAACCTTTCTCTTGCACTTGTTATATTGATGCACTGTTCTTTTAAATTTGACAATTTTAACACCTTTTACAGGTTGCGGACACTTCAGGATCGGAGAGCTACACATCTGCAGCTTTTCATCCTGATGGTCTAATCCTTGGAACAGGTACATCAGGGTCTATTGTGAAGATTTGGGATGTAAAGAGTCAGGTAAGCTTGTTAAATTTTAATGAAATATGTTCTTTTCATTTTCTTATTTTCTGAAGTTTTGGGTTTTTTTCCTCACGGATATGTAGGCAAATGTTGCACGATTTGATGGGCACATTGGAACTGTTACTGCAATCTCCTTTTCAGAAAATGGTTATTTCCTAGCAGTATGTATCACGTTTCTAACTATAAATATACATGTCTTTGATGAGTATTCATTGACAAATTCAATGAATGCTGAAGTTGAGAATGCTGCCTTATTTTGATTATCTTTTCTGTAATGCTGTAAGACTGCTGCTCAAGATGGGGTAAAGCTCTGGGATTTACGCAAATTAAGGAATTTTAGAACTTTCACGCCATATGATGACAACACACCAACCCAAACAGGTATGCTGCATATGTTATGACATTTGTCTTGTTTATTTCCGCTGACATTTAGGAAGCTTTGATACTTGGAAGCAAAAAGATTCAGCACAGTAGTTACCATTATATTGGAAAGCTTATAGCTTTTTAGACATGTATGGCTTTCTACTAGTACCAGTATTTCAATACAAAGTAAACCGTCGATTCATAAAAAATAACATTAAACTTTTGGTTATTATATATATATATATATATATATATATATATATATATATATATATATATATATATATATATATATATATATATATATATATATATGCATTCTGGAACTGAACTTTCAGGATAGGATAATCAACAGAGTGCAAATAAAGTTATCGTATGTAGAGCATGTCTGCCCTTTGTCCTGATCAAGTAGCCCTAGTGTAGAATAGGAAAAGATGACAAAGGGAAAGAATCTGCATCATTCATGTTGTTAGTAATGTAATATATTGATCATGATGATATTTGCAGTGGAATTTGACCAGAGTGGAAGTTACCTTGCCTTGGGAGGATCAGATATAAGGTAAAGAGTTCTTCAAGTACATGTCCTGTCAATCCATTGCTTCTATGGTCAGGACTCCTTTTAACAATATTCTTGACTTTTTCCCAACCGTTTTGTATTTCAACTTGAACCTTATTTATGAATATGCATTGCACCACAATATTCTTCTTTTCTTTGGGGGGGGGGGGGGGGGGGGGGTTGATGTAATACTTGCTACTATTACGTTCAGACTAAAGCTCTGATGGAGATTTCTTTTTTCTACACTTGGGAGCTCTTATCTTTTGGTGCTTTGGCAGAGTCTATCAAGTTGCTAGTGTGAAGTCGGAATGGGGCTGCATCAGGACATTCCCTGATTTGTCAGGCACAGGTATATCTCTCTTTCCTCATCCCTAATTGTTTTGTATAATGAAAATAATGTCCTCTTTGCTATAGAGGATGACCAATTCTAATTCTTTGTGAACAGGCAAAGCCACATGTCTAAAATTTGGTCCAGATGCTAAATACATAGCTGTTGGATCAATGGATCGAAACCTCAGAATATTTGGGCTGCCACAGGAGGATGGTCAACCAGAAGATTAATTGCCATTTCACTGTGTTGACACTAATGGTACTTCTATAGCATATGCTTCCTGGTTGCAGGTTTTGGCGCTTATTTTGGGCAGAAGAATTTGTGAATGACTATCTTTTGAATTTGCCCAAAGCGTGGTTCCCTGCCAGATTATTAGTGACAATGCAATAAATCTGAAGCAATTTGCCATCTTATCCACTTTGAGGGTTAATTTATCGTGTAACAAATTTTTTTGGGGTAATATTATTGTATCATACAAATGTAACAATTGTTTGGAATGGCTGAGAAAAAAAGACTATTGAATATTGCTCGGAAAGAAGATATTGGTCCTGTTTGGTAAAATAGTTAGCATATCAATCAATTTTGACTTATTTAACTATTATTAATCAGTTTTTTAAAAAAGTCATTTTGTATATAATTAGTTAACAACTAATTTACCAAACACCAATTAGTTAATCAACTAGTCAAGTCCATAACCACCCAGAACCTTATCTTTGATGAATTTCTTTTTGACAATGAAGAATTAACTTAAGTGTCTTTGTTGATTCTGTTCCTTAAATCTAAAATTTTAATTAAAATATAACATATCAATCATTCAAGTTCTCAGTATTGATAGGGCGAGCCCAGAATTCTCACTAAAGAGAAGCAATGTATATAACATTCTTACAAAACAATATTTCGTAACCTTGAATATAAATCATGTACAGCAATATAGGGGTAAATAATTTCTCATAGGAAGCTGAAAAAACAAAGAATGATCTGTTTTCTAACGTATATGGGTGGGGGCAATGCAAAATATACCGCAAAACACAGCTTCATATTGGTGATGAATGCCCGATGAATATTCATCTCTATAATTGTAGGAACCATAGGCAAATTATAACCTGAATATCATAACAGAATCTGATTGTTATTGTTATTTAACTAGACTAGAAGATAATAGCATGGTGTATGTAACTAGATATACCATGGCCTGTTTAAAAGGAATTACTAATTATGGGTTTAAATGCTCATTGTTGTTATATTTACGATCTTTCAAGTTAATGGTGAAGACACCTGCAAGTGATGTTCACCGAGCCTTACTATGTGATCCGAGGTTCACAGCACACCAATTGTTGAGATAATGAGATGAGGAATCAGACAAGATATCGAGAAGCATGTGTAAATCCCCAAAGCTGCAGAGGAATGAAATGGGAATAACAATGGTCAATGACGAATGCCAATAATAACCATATACTATAGGAAGAATAATGAAAATTGTGTTAATGCGAGAAACTAGATAATAACAAATTCATGTTTAACAACCTAGGCAAGAAAAAATAAGTTGTTGGAGGCAACCCCAGCCAAGTTGGTCAGGTGGTTTGACTTGGTAACCTTAGGTTACAAGTTCCTGGCGGGAACAGCCTAGTGGCCTACTTAGTTTGAGCCAGTCAGCTATGGGCAACCTAGGCTGGTTTACTTCTTTGTAGTACTTTGCCAGCTAAGGTTAGAAGACGGGGTTTACCTAGTGCAAAACATCGGGTAGTGACAGTGGGTTTACTAAAAAAAAAAAAAAAAGTGGTTACTAGAAACAATAATACCTCAACATTCTTTAACTGAAACTCTTGATTATTGGCTAAGCATAAGTTTCCAAATGTCTCACAAGGCCCACTGCTGCCAGTCAACCTTCATAAAAGCAAAAAAAAAAAAAAAAAAAAACCGAGTACATTACACTTTACGGTATAGTAACATCAAAATTTCAAGCGTTAACAGCAATTCTTAGGCAGAGAAGCTTACAGATCTCCATCAACACTTAATGCGTAATTTTCACCCCCTCCAAAGGCAAGTTGGTCGTACATACACAAAAAGAAATATCTATTGGCACCTAAACGAAAGATCAAGGAAAACCATTAGATCATATGATGTGATAAGGGAATAAACATCAATATCGATTGGATCTAGTATGCTTTTCCCCGTGGATATTCTTACCAGTTGGTCTAAACATCCTGGGCTCACCATATAAAGTTGTAAACACAAATGATTGATTTGTCCCCTATCAAAATTATGAAATTAGAAGTAAATCATAAAATCATGGATACAAACCAAGCCAAGGATATAAAAGAAAAAGCTGTATCAATTTCCAATTTATCATTTTTATACTTTTAATAAAATCATCTGATCTTGGTGCGCATTTTCAGTTGTAATATAAAGCAGTAACTACCTGATATTTTGGCTTTGCAGTAGGCGTCAATGGTGCCTCGAGCAGTCCACCAAATACGGAACCTTCCTTATCACCAGTAATCTGCAATTAACAGTCATTTGAAACTAAATGTATCGAACAAACAGCCTCGTATCCAAAAGGGAACCTAACGTTTGTGTACAAGAATTTTAACGGAAGTATATGGATGTGGACCTACCAGCAAACAAGGACCAGAAGTATCGGCACTCTTGTGAATGAGTGTCCGGAGTGATATACCATCTCTATCCGTGCTGCCAACCAATCATACAAACGGTTAGAGACTGTACGAATGTAAAAAGTTATTAATGACCCCGTTGCAAAGTTACCTGTACAACAGCATCCACTGACAACCTTTGACTATATTAGGAAGGGATGCTTGGAGAAACTCATACAAGTCGGGAGTAACGAAAAGAGACTCGTTTATGAGATTAGGCATGACTTCATAGTCAACTCCATCACGGGCATCCTCATAATCTTCGTAGCAACTAACAACGCTTCTTGCAGAATTAGGCTCACAGATTTCTCCCTGTGCATTAAAAAAATTGCTTCTACTGAATTCATCCTCTCCATTAAAATCTGGGATGTCTTTGTAATCATCGTCAAGGTCATAATCATCGAATCTTTCCAATGGTTTATCTTCCAATTTAAAGCTTCTACTTCTCCACGTAAAAGAAGGCGAGTGGACTGGCGTATTATCATGTTGCTCTTTCAATGATTTCAATCTATCAAACTTTGACGAGGGGAGCACAAAAGAAAGTACGGAAGTTAAAGTTTTTCCATCCTTCGTCTCTGGACCAGCCTACACAGGGAGAAAGCCAACGTTACAAAATTCACTCCTATAAAGACTACTGAATTTAAATCAGTAGACTTATGAATCAGGCGATCCTCCTGCTTCAAATATATATATACTTTTTGTTTTCTACATTAACCATCTTGCATATTTCAGCACCCACAAAAAGTTTTAGTGTCTTTTTTGTAAATATTACAAATCTTTTTTAGTTTGGAAAGCAAAACACACATTTTTAGTTTCGAAACCAACAAATTCACAAATTTTATATGAACATGCATACACACATTTATGTTTCCCAGTTCAATTAGTCTTCAAATTCCACAATTCTGAGGCTCTTAATCCTCATCAAAGCAGGCCACCACAAAAAAAGTAGATTAGTTGTGGCAATTAAATAAAAATTAAGACATTGTTGATACAATAGAAGATCTAGCTTCACATACAGATCAAACCTCCATGAATCGCGAGAATAATATAATAAATACTGTATATAATCAAAAGATATATGCACGTATATTAGCAGGTATTACCTGAGGCTGAGCCTGGGGCTGAGGCGGATTATCTACAGATTGAATTGGAGAATCAGAAAAGAGACGCGAAAGGGTCTCTGAAACTCGTTCTTTTATGGAATGCATTGTTTTCTTTGTTCCCTCTTCTTCTCCACCGTGTTGTTTGTGGGAATGTGGGTAAATGACGGAATGGGAATAGGAATGTGGATCTCCCAGAGTGAATTTAGAAGGCTCGGATTTAGAAATTGTGAAGGAAAGGAGAGCTGCTCTGGTATTGGATCGAGGGAACTCAACGTCGCGGTTGCGGTGTGTGGAGGAGAGAGAGTGGGGGAAGGGCGCAGCACAACACGGAACGGAGGAATCTTTTGTCCAATGTTCATATTTTTCTACAATTACAATGTTCTTTCCAACACATGGATTCAGGGGAAGATCCCTACTAAATTACGGAGTACTATATTTATGTTTATTGTTGGAAAATAATAAAAAAAATTTCCTCTTAAAAATATTATTTTTAACTCAATTCTTAATGAGGTATTATTTCCTTGGACAATGCTATGTGTCCCTACATCACTCACAAACTTGTCAATCATTAATGCGATAATTTTAATAGGTTGAATAATTCAAATATAATTTTAATTGGTGCGCACCATACTAAACGTGTGAATTTGTGAACTGCTACGGTTCGTTGGTTTAATGCATCCAACATGAATTACACATCATTCTTCAGTGCACCCTCCCACATGTAGTACACAGGGCATTCTACTTTTTTGAAACTCAAGGGAATCAGATTGCATTAAACTGTAGACGAAATAAAGGAAGGAAGAGAATCCCTCCAGACAGTACGAGTGTCAACCGCACTAACATGCTTTGCTAAGGCATGAGCTACCGTATTGGCATCTCTGCATACAAATTTAATGGAGCAGGAATGAAAAGAGCGAAATAAATGCAAACATGAATCTAAGATAACACCTAGGTACGAACGATAGGAACTCGCATCGCGAAAGCAAGAAACAAGGACCGCACAATCCGAAAAAATCACAATGTTGTGAAAATTGTGTTCTTGTAGCCATGATAGAGCTTCTCGTATTGCCATGGCTTCAACTAGGAGAGGATCATACGAGCATATAAGAGGTCCGTTAGCAGCGGCAACAAAACTGCCCTCTGCACTGCATACATAAAAACCAAAAGAAGGGGACGTGCCGTGGAATCCGGCATCAGCGTAGCAAATTACCACACCCAGCGGCAGCAACATCGCCATTTCCGGAGCTGACGGCAGTAAGGGGGCAGCCGGAACAAGGGGAGCAGCCGGAACGGGGGGAGCAACCGGCGTGTTGTTCGATGCCCAGGCAGACCAAGTACCGTGAAAACCGTGACATAGATGCGAGGGGGTCGGTAGAACAAAATCCCAAACAGCCATATTCCGAGCTCTCCAAATTTCGTAGAGTATTTCACATATTTGTTCTTTTAGAAACCCAGCAGATATTGCTGAGGTTCCTAGCCAAGCCTCCACCCACTTCATAAAATCATAACCATCAACGTTAGGGATATGAAGGCGTGAAACATTCCACACACGTCTAGCATAAATACAAGTGCATAAAATATGCATAATATCCTCCTCATAATCTCCAAAAGCCCCGGGCAAATATTAGGAATCTCTACTCTCCTTCTAACCAAGTTGGTAATAGTTGGCAAAATATTAGAAAGAGCCTTCCATAGAAAAATCCTCCACTTGGGAGAGACCTTAAGTTTCCAAATGTTGTTCCAGACTGCGTCCGGGGTGGTGATCAACTCCCCTTGGCATCTATAACCATCTTTAACCGTATATTGTCCCCTGATATCCCCTTTCCAAAACCAGTCATCCTTGAAATTAATACTCACTGGGATTTGTAATATTAATCCAGTATCCTTGGGATCAAACAATTGAGAAACCAGCTCATGGTTCCATCTCCCCTGATCATGATCCAACAGGTCAGCTACCCTGAGATCCGGGGATTGGGTAACTTGATCAGTAAGCACAAACGGATTCTGGGTGTCAGGTAACCACGGGTGTGACCAAACCTTGGTTGTTCTGCCATTACCAATTCTGCGCCTGCAACCACTACGAATCAGGCTCTGACTGGCCATAATGCTTCTCCATACATAGCTCGGATTACCTCCCAAGGAGGCCTCATAAAAGGTAGTATCACGATAATATCTTGCCTTAAATATTCGGGCCATTAAGGATTCCGGATTGGTTAAAAGTCGCCACCCCTGCTTCCCTAGTAGTGCCAAATTAAATTCATGCAACCTCTTAAAACCCATACCACCATGCTTCTTAGGCACACACATCCTGTCCCAGGCCATCCAATGTATCCCATCTACCGTGGTACTCTTACCCCACCAATACCTGTTCATCAATCTTTCCAAAGAAGCACATAGCGATACAGACAACAGAAATATACTCATAGTGTACGTAGGCATTGCCTGAGCAACACTTTTAAGAAGTACCTCTTTACCTGCCATAGAAAGCAGCCTCTTATTCCAATAACCAAACCTCTGTCTCAGTTTCTGCTCCACATAGAAAAAACAAATTTCCTGTTCCTACCAACAACTGAGGGGAGACCCAAATATTTGCCAAAATCCTCCGCCTGCTCCACCCCTAAACCCATGGCAATAACATCCCTGTCCAACAAAGTAGTATTTCGACTGAAAGAGATGTTAGACTTATGAAAATTGACAGATTGGCCCGAGAATTGCTCATATATTTCCAAACAACGCTTCACCTCGATGGTTTCCTGCATTTTAGCCTTGAAGAACAGTAGGCTGCCATCCGCAAAGAAGAGGTGGGAGATGGGAGGGGCCCCACGCGCCACTCTGCAGCCATGGATCCGTCCTTTAGCCTGGGCATCCTGCAACAATAAAGATAAGCCCTCCGCACAAATGATAAAAAGGTAGGGTGGAAGTGGATCACCCTGCCTTAGACCCCTCGTGGGCAAGATCTCCTCACTTGGTTTCCCATTGACCAGGACTCTATACCTGACTGTCCGCACACATAGCATGATTAAATTAACACATTTAACATCAAAACCAAGCCCCAACAACATTCGTTTTACAAACCTCCATTCCATTCGGTCATAAGCTTTGGCCATATCTAGCTTCAGGGCTGCCCATCCCTCTCGGCCCAATTGTTTCCTTCTCAGATAGTGACCCACCTCAGATGCAATAAGGATGTTATCCGAAATAAGCCTACCTGGAAGAAAAGCACTCTGCGACTCTAAAACAATGCCATCCAATAGCGGTTTCATACGGTTAGCTATCATCTTAGCCATTACTTTATATACAACATTGCATAAAGCAATAGGCCTCAAATCAGCAACCAACTCAGGGGCAGCCTTTTTCGGGATCAGAACAATATTGGCATCATTCAATTCAGGGGGAAAGGAAGATTGAGATAAACATGCAAGAACAAAATTAGTAAAATCCTTACCAATGAGATCCCAGAAAGATTGATAGAAGCCCGGATTCATTCCATCCGGTTCTGGCGATTTGTCTTTACCCATGGCGAACAAAGCGTGTTTCACTTCTTCAGGCTCGAAAGGACGAAGCAAGTCATCATTCTGAGCACGAGTGACACGGGGTGATAAGGTATCCACTTGAAAAGTACCCATGTCCCCATTTGTCTAAAAAATCTGCTTGTAGTAATCCGTCACCAGAGAAACAAGCCCATCACCCTCCTTCCATACCCCATTCCCATCCTTAAGCCTCACAATAGAATTTTTCCGTTTACGGTGCATGGCATACTGATGAAAGAACTTCGTGTTCCGATCCGCCCCTTGCAGCCAGTGCTGCTTGGCCCTTTGCTTCCAAAAAGACTCCGCTTGCAACAAAACAGTACTCAATTGCCCATCAAGTTGCCTGAAGCGTCCTAAGGAAATCGGGTCCATCTGGCCTCACAAACTATTCATCCCCCGTTTTATCGCCTCAATTCTGAAACCAAATTTGTGAAAATGTTCACCCCCCCCCCCCCCCCCCCCACTTCTTGAGGCCACGACCGCACAACAACAACCTCTCCTGGAAACCAAGCCCTTGCGTATTAGTCCACTCCTTCGTCACCACTTCCCTACACCCTTCATCCCTTAACCACACGTTCTCAAATCGAAAACCGCGCGCCTGCCGTGATGATCCCGAACCATACACATCAAGAAAGAGCGTCGTATGATCCGACCTCACAGTTTGAATGTTGTATAACCGGGCATTACCATGAAAACCCCTCCAGGCTGCATCTGCCACCGCCCTATCCAGTCGTTCCTCTACCCAGTCCGGAGTCCCCTTACCCCGTTCCCAAGTGTAAGGATATCCCAACATAGGTAAAGTAGTCAAACCACAGTCTTCCAAAGCTTCCCCGAAACCCTCTAACCACCGTGCAGGATGCGGGCGTCTCCCCCTTTTCTCAGATTGTGACAACAGATCATTGAAATCCCCCAAAACCACCCAAGGTAGGCTTGACGCGTCCTTAAGTGATTTTAAGAAATCCCATGCCTCCCTCCTCCTTGAACTCTGAGCATAGCCATAGTAACAAGTCAATCTCCAACGATGTCGGTTTGGTAGGGACACCACTAGATCGATATGATTGTGGGAATACTTAATTAAACGAGCACTATTATTCTTTGCCCAGAGAAAACCCATGCCACCCTTCTGCAGCACACTATCCACGCCAAAACCGCCCTCAAAACCAAGTTTTACACGGAGCCTCTCAACATGACTCCTATCCACCATCGTTTCCATCAGATACACAAATTCAAGCTCCTTCTTGGACACAAGGTCCATAATCTCTCGAACTGTCTGTGGATTACCCAAGCCACGACAGTTCCAACTTAGAATACTCATTGAGAAGGGCGGGCCTGCTCTACAGGTCCCGCCAAACAAGAAGAGTCTACTAGCATCACCCCCTCACCTGCCACCATTCCACCCGCCACCTCACCATTTTCCCCCCTCCTCCGCTTCGGATCCATCCGCACACCCCCTCATCCTCCCCCACCCGAGCAGCAACCCCAACCACGGCATTGGCCGACCTTGACATGCCGGCCCCAATACCCCCCATTCCCGGCCTGAACTGACCCACACCACCCGAGACCGGTAACCCACCAGCCACCTGCCCCAGTTGTGGTCCCGCACCCCGAACTGGAAAACCAGCCGCCCTACCGAGACCCAAGCCACGATGCATCCTCTCCCCTCTCTGTAACCAACTCTACCCAACCGCCTTTGCCGGAGGATTGCCCCCAGCCTTCAAACTCAAACCAAACGGGTACTGAGCCGGCTTCAAACCGGACACACGGGCATCTAAACAAAATTTATCTGTATGCCATAACTTCTCACAAAAGAAACAGAACATATGCAAACGTTCATACCGAAAATTTACCCATGTCTAAGAATTGTCACCCAAAATCATCTTCATGCGTCTCTTCAGCGGAGCCGAAACCTCCACCGTAACCTTGACCCTATAAAACGTCGTCTAGGGCCTCACAAAATTCCTCTCATCCAGCCCCACAAACAGCCCAAGAAAGTCCCCGACTTTCTCTAGTACTTTGTCCGTTCGATACCCGACCGGCAAGTCGTGCACCTGTACCCAAAAATCAATAGTATTCAGCAACACTTGGGTAGGATGTTCACCTGGACGAAGCGGTTGACATATCAAAGTAGCATTCTCAAACGCCCATGAGCCATTCTCCAACACGTATGCCAGATCAGTATCGTGATAAAACGTGAACAAATAAAGATTCGGTTGAATCTCAGCAACTTGGATCCCCATTAACGGCCTCCAAACGGACGCCATCACCTGCCTCATCACGTCGAACTTAATGGTCCTATTAGTAAGAAATCGTCCAACCATCTGCCAATACTGCACCGTCGTCTCCTCCGCTACTACCGATCCATCCTCCTCGCCGAATCGGACCCCCGCTTCCTCCTCCTCCAACGTGATATCCGCACAGCTCTGTACGATATCTTGGACATCCATACTGCCCTACGAATCAAGAAGCACGAACGGAAGAGGAAAAAAACCTGTAGATGCCGAACCAAAAGCCGCCGAAAAACAGCAAAACTCCAAGCAGATCAACGTCAACCAGTAGACAGCACAGCTTTCATTAATATTCAGCGCTCAAACGAACAAATTAGGAGAAGTCGAGTCGATTGTGTACGGTAAGAACATGCAAAAGATACGAAAAAACCCTAGATACCAGGGAGAGAGATGAAAAACCCTAGATACCAGGGAGAGAGATTTTTTTAATTTAGGGCATTCTACTTAATTCCACAGCATTCACAAAAGAACGGCCGATAACAATGCACAAGTTAACAGGTTAAGCAAAGTTCACACCTGAAACCTTTCCCCTCTCTCTCTCTCTCTCTCTCTCTCTATATATATATATATATATATATATATATATATATATATATATATATATATATATATATATATAATTTTAATTAAATTATTTAAAATCACACCCATATTAATTTTGTTGTTTAAAAAAAATCTATTGCATGATGGACCTAGCCCACATAATGATTGCTAGTTGGGCTTGACTGGGCTATTTAATTGCATCAAATTATACCATGGACCAGGGTCTACCTTGCATGCATTGTAGACCCCAGTCTAAAAATAATTTTCAAATTGAGTTTATACCCAAAATCGTACGTCCTCGATTATAGTGGTTTTTCTCAATTTCGTCTTAAACGACTTTGGTGACCTAATATCGTCCCAGACTTTTGTGTTTCGCTCAATTTAGTCCCAGACTTTTGTGTTTTTGCTCAATTTAGTCCCTCATTTGTTATTCTGTCCATTTGGTGTTAAATAAATAGACAATTCAGTAATTTTAATATTGACATCTCTTTATTCATAGACATGTGAACTGCGAAATCCTTTTTTTTTATGAATTACTCCTAAAACTGCGAATATAAAATTTGATTTGCAGGTCCGGGAGTAATTCTGGGTGTAATTCGTACAAGAAAAAAGAATTTCGCACTTCGCAAGTTGAAAGTAAAGAGAGATCAATATTGACATTACTGAATTGTCCCTTTATTTAACACCAATTTGACGGAATAACAAATTGAGGACTAAATTGAGCGAAATACAAAAGTCTGAGACGATATTAGGTCACCAAAGTCGTTTAGGACAAAATTGAGAAAAACCACTATAGTCGAGGACGATTTTGGGTATTAACTCTTTTCAAATTCTTTATTTTTAATTGACATATTTTGTACTTATAGTTGATAGTTTTTGTACATGTAGTTATCATATTATGTGTAAGCAATTATCAAGTTATTTGTTTACATGTACAAAAACCGTTAACTGTAGGTACAAAATGTGTTAACTAAAAGTACAAAATTTTGTTATATGTCAACAAATTATCAAGTTATTTGTTTACGTGTATAAAAATTATTAACTGTAAGTACATAATTTTTGTATCGGAGTTCACAATGCAATCTGAACCCTGGTCCATGGTATAACAATTGCTCAATTGCAATTGAACTTCCTCGGTTTAAATGCAATTCTTATACCAAGGACCAAGATTTACAGTACATTGTGGACCCTGGTGCATGTGTATGTGTCTTATGGTGTGAGTTTTGTATTTTGTGTTGTGAAATTCTGTAAAAGTCAAAATTTTGTACCTAAAACAAATTAGTAATTGTGTCTTATGTTAGAAATTTTCTGTGTCTTGCGTTGTGAAATTTTGTGCCTATGAACACGAATTATGTACTTAAATCAGATTTTAAAAATAAGTAAATATATAACATGTGTATGTGTCTTGTGTTATAAAATTCTGTACTTTACAAGTATAAATTTTGTACTTTATCGTTTCGATCCAAAGTCTATAATACTATGTGGACCCTAGTTCATGATATAAATTGTGGTTTAAATGTTGCGCATATCTTGTACGTCTTTTGGCTTCAATTATGCCTAGGGCGCCTGGGTCTAGCACTCTAGCTGGTGTTAATGTGTTAGGGCATCTTCCATAGTGAAATTTTTTGTGTGGTTTTTATAGGTGTGATTAGGAAAGGGAAAATGAAGGGGAGGAAAAAGAAAAAAAAATAAATAAAAGGGAAAATGGCATTTTTTCCCCCTATGTTATATACTTATAGCACTTTTTCCCCCTCAATTATTTAAGTGGCTCTTTTTCCCCCTGAAATGTTAAATGGACATATTTACCCTTAAAATAAATATTTCATTTATTTTTATTCTCCAATAAATTATTACTATAATTTGGTTCAAACCAGATACTATAGTAACCAAACCAAAATATTCCAATTACAATTTATAATCAAAACGCGATATTTAGAGTTTATTAAAATCGCGAACTGGAATGGCCGGTTCATGTTCCGAACTGAAAAAAATAAAATACATTTATTGTTGAATTTAAACTATTTTAAAATAAAAAATAAAATTTTAAAATAAAGACGGTTCAAAATCACGAACGGGATCCGGAACCGCCGGTTCATGATCCAGTTTTTTTTTTTTTATTCTTAAATTTAATAAATTGAAATCCAAATATTGGGTTCTAGATTTGAATCATAACTGAAAACTTTTAATTCGATTGCTATAGTGTCTGGTTCAGTTCGAACCGAACCGTGGTAATCGCTACATATACGCAATAATTTGTTGGAGAAGTAAAATAAATAAAATGTTTACTTTAAGGGTAGAAATGTCAATTTAATATATTAGGGGGGAAAACCACCACTTTTAAAATAATTGAGGGGGCTAATGTGCTTACATAAATAATTGAGGGGGAAAAAGTGCTATAAGTATATAACATAGGGGGAAAAGTGCCATTTTCCCTAAATAAAATCAAAAGTTGAAAAAATAAAAAATAAAATATATTGATTTACGTCCCAGTGTACACACCAGCCTGGGCGCGAACTCTCTCTTCAAACTATGGGACCTACAATTTGTAAAAAAATTGGATTCTTACAAGAGCACTCCATCTCCTCTCTCTCCCCCTTTTCTCTCTTCCATGTAGCAAAAGCAACGGAAAGAATCATGAAAAATCTCTTTAACGGGATGCTCTTATTAGTTTCTTTCTTCTTACTAGCTCATTTGGATTGAGTAGGGCACCCGTGAGTTTCAAGGCCATTTGTTGTTTGTTTTGTAATACTTGTAATGAAGAGATTGATATGGGGGCTAGCTTTTCTCCACCCCACATAGTTATATGTTTTATTTGGGTAGAGAGAGCACGAATACATTGTTATTCACTTTGGTGACAAATTTTTTTCATTTTAGCCATAGAAATTTCTGTCCCTATTTTCGCATTTTTTGGTAGTGATATGTGGTGACGGGAGCAGAGAACTAATCAAAACAATACTCCGTGAGTCCGTGTATATATTTAGAAAAGAGAAATTAAAGCGGCGCGGGAAATTAAAAACGAGAAAGAGCTGAGCTGCAGAGTGCAACATTCGTCGCAAAAGACAAAAGAGCCGTAACACTTTTTTCAGAGCCGCCATGGATGAAGTTGGAATAAGCTCCCGCAGCCGGAGACTTTTCAGCTGGATCACTTTTTTCATGTATAAATTCTCGGTGTTAGCCGTAACACCTCAAACCATTTTGAAAGTAACAGATCAGAGCAGCAAAAAATGGCAACTCAACCACCGGTTATCAAAGTCGTCGCCCTCTGCGGTTCCCTCCGCAAAGCTTCTTACAATCGCGGTCTCATCCGCGCCGGTAACGCCGATCTTCCCCTGGAATTACTCATTGAATTAGTATATATACTCCATTAATCAATCTTCTGATTATATTTATATGTATATAGCGACGGATATTTGCAAGGAATCAATCAACGGGATGGAGATAGAGTACGTGGACATATCGCCCTTACCGTTTCTGAACACCGATCTGGAGGGAGACGGAACATTTCCACCGGAGGTGGAGGAATTCCGCCAGAAGATTCTCGGAGCCGACGGCGTACTCTTCGCTGCTCCGGAATACAACTTATCCGTCGCCGGTACGTACTACTCGCCAAACATAAAAAGGTCAAATTAACGGTGAATTTAAATTAAACGTAACCCTAACTGTGTATGTACTGTTGTTTTCTATCAGCACCTCTGAAAAACGCGATTGATTGGGCGTCTCGGCCGCCGAACGTGTGGGCTGACAAGACGGCGGCAATCGTGAGCGCCGGAGGATACCTAGGAGGAGGATTAGGGCAGTTCCACCTCCGGCAAATCGGAGTTTTCCTCGACCTCCATTTCATCAACAAACCTGAGTTTTTCCTGCATGCATTCCAGCCTCCTGCGAAGTTCGACGTGGACGGCAACTTGATCCATGATGCCACCAAGGAGAAGCTTAAGAAACTCCTTTTATCCTTGCAGAAATTCACATTGCGCCATCTAATCTAACGAAGAATGAATAATTTGAATGAGTATAGGAAACGAAATTCACCCCTAGCCCGAAGTGCTGAATGAATTTTGTTATAATATTTTAAGAATATTTGGATCGATATATAATTATATAAATTATAACATCAAATATTATATAGTGCAATTGATTAAATTGATGGGATCAATTATGTTTACGAGGAAAATAATCGCCCAATTACTCGTGCACGGATAAAATTTTTTATTATATATTTAGATAATAAAATTAAATACAAAATTAAAAAAAAATCCTAATATTGAACGTGTACATTATTTGATTATATCACTCAATTAATTGAATAATATATGACTCGTTTGTCTGCAATTATGGTAAAAAGATCAATATGTAATACGATTTATGTAACTATATTATTATTAGTTCATAATATTACTAATTTCTTGTTTATTTTTTATTATTGCAACATTTTCATAAATATGTAAGAAACACTGTAAGAAACAGTTCACTTTCACTTTTTGTTGCGGTTGAAGAGCAGAGAAATGCAAATGAAAAAAATTATGAAATTAGCAAAAGAACCGAAGTTTTTTGTTGTCATTTTAATGTTCATTTTAATATTTAGCGCTAGTGTTAAGATTACCAAATAAATAAAACAAAAAGAATTAGTGACCTGGTGGACACTCTGAATACGACACGCGCCCGCTGGCAAGAGACTCCAAAAGCATGTCCTCTGCAATTCTACAAAACCAAAAGCTTGTCCTCTGCATGACTGTTTGTTTGTTTGTTCCTGATTTTTGTTTATTCTATTTTTGTTATTTTCACAGCACAGCAGGATGAAAGGGTCTTATGCACAGGGTAGGCCTAGAACAAGGAGTGAATGGGATGCCTACGATGCGAAGTCCATTGAAAAGAGAAAACGAAAAAGAAATGGGTCGGGGTCAGATGAGAAGGGGGAGCAGTGCTGTGGAGGTAATTTCAGTTGTCGATTGGATTAATGATAGCACATCCTTACTTGGCCCCATTGCTAGCATTATTCATGCTTGCAAGGAGTTTGTTGCTAGAGCCTGGGAGGTGAGACTTTCATTTTGTCTTCGGGAGGATAATATGGTGGCGGACATTTTAGCTAATGAAGCGGTTATGCGCCGTTGTGATTGGATGGAGTTTGCAGGACCGCTTAATCATATTGTGGATGTCCTTGAGCTTGATAGAGAGGGTGATGCGTTTTGTGTCTCTTTGTAAGAGTCGGGTCTTGCCGGCTCGGGGGTCCCCCTTCTCCCAAAAAAAAGGTGCAAACCTATATGTTTAATTAATCTCTTGAACTAAAATAGTAGCTAATTTGATACATAAATTTTTAAAATTTTTTGCATTTTCATTTTTACTATTTTTCAAATTGTTTTAGTTTTGCCTACTCAATAATAAGCTTCATCACTCCTTCAAAAATGTATTATTATTCAAATAATTAATGGATATAAAGAACTTTTATTTATAAATAAAGAATATCACATAAAAATAAAATTTAGGATGTGAATAAGGGTCAAATAGGCCATCAAACTACATACCAAAATGTAATTAGGCCACTCAACTCAAAAAAGTTACAATTAGGTCCATGAACTACACAAATTCATGCAATTTCACCAAAAATGACTTGTTTACCTGTTGTATCGGTTACAAAATGAAAAATAATTTTTAAACTTTTATTTTAATAATTTTAAATAATAAATTATTTTAAAATTAAAAAAAAAAAAAAACTGCCCGAGACGAAGGGGTCTCCGGCCAGCCAGGAGACGAAGGGCTCCCTTCGTCTCCGGCCAGCCAAGAGACGAAGGGGATTCGGTTTTTTTTTTTTTTTTTTTTTTTTTTTTTTTTTTTTTAATTTTAAAATAAATTTTTATTTAAAATTATTAAAATAAAAGTAAAAAAATTATTTTTAAATTTGGTAACCGACACGTTAGCGTATCAATAGGTAAACAAGTCATTTTTGATGAAATTTCATGAAATTGTGTAGTTCAGAGACCTAATTGTAACTTTTTTGAGTTGGATGACCTAATTACATGCTCATGTGCAGTTGAATAACCTATTTGACCCTTATTCCTTTCGGATGAAAAGAAAACATCAATTTTTTCCATAAAACCTATATGGATGACTCTGCAACTATTTTGAAATTGACAAAATAACATATTTCTGTACCTAGAAAATAAGTTCAAATTCAAAAAAGTGGTGTTGACTAGGTTGGTCAAACTTGGACAGTTCTCTCCCCAAAAAGAACAGATAGATTCCTTTCCTCTTCTTCAGTCATCACTCAGCTCTCTTCTCTGTAACCAAGGGAATATTTTCCTCTACCTAATTGAGCTCTTTCATGACCATTTTGTTCTCATTCTCTTCAAATACTGTAATATTCTATTTTTTTTTCTAAGGATTTGACACTATTTTCTTTTGTATACTCCAATAAAATAATCCAAGTACTGAGATAGAGTGATAGATATAAGTGGTACGACCACTCACCACCTCCCTTCACCTCTGCATAATCCAAGTAGGAAGTGAATCCCAAACCGCATTATTATACGGAGTACTAAGTTACAAGTAAAATCAAGACACTTTTTTTGAGAAGCCAAACGCAAGAAGCAGAAACCAAGAAATCAGAGCGCAAACCCAGAAATCTTTGCCCATTCTTTACTAGAAAGCTTCCCCAAAATCTCATCTTTACCATGATTTGATGCGTCAAGAGTCCAGACTCCAGAGATGGGTTTGTCCAGAAAGCCCTCTTCTTCCTTCATTTCTGTGTTCCTGGTTGTTCTTCCCATTATTATTCTTGGGCTCATTTCGCAAGCCAGCTCTGAATCTGGCTACGCCACCTTGATTTACAAGGGGTGTGCAAAGCAGGATTTACCAGATCCATCTGGGGTTTACTCACAGGCCCTCTCTAGCCTCTTTGGGTCTCTCATTGCCCAGTCCTCAAAGGCCAAGTTTTACAAGAGCACCACTGGGAGTGGGCAGGCCACCATTACTGGGCTCTTCCAGTGCAGGGGTGACCTCTCAAATGTTAACTGTTACAACTGTGTGAGTAGGCTCCCAATCCTCATAGACAAGCTGTGTGGCAGGCCTGCGGCTGCAAGAATCCAGCTTTTTGGGTGTTACATGCTGTATGAAGTTGCTGGGTTCCCCCAAATCTCTGGGATGGAGATGCTGTACAAGACTTGCAGTGGGAAGAATGCCCAGGGGTTTGAGGAGAGGAGAGACACTGCTTTCACCAATTTGGTTGGTGGGATTCCCAGTGCCAATGGCTTTTACACCACCAGCTATGAGTCTGTGTATGTGTTGGGCCAGTGTGAGGGTGATGTGGGCAATGCTGATTGTGGTCAGTGTGTCAAGAATGCTGTTCAGAGAGCTCAAGTTGAATGTGGGAGCTCCATTTCTGGCCAAATTTTTCTCCATAAGTGCTTCATTACCTATTCTTATTATCCCAATGGACTCCCTAAAGGCTCATCACCTTCTTCATTCTCATCTCCTTCCTCCTCTTCAGGTAATCCATTATCTTCTGTTTGCTAGCTATTTTGGTTATATAGTGTCACTCTAATCAAGAAATTTGTTCTCTTGGACTTATTGCCTTTATGCCTTAGTATATTGTCTTGATAGATAGATTAAAGAGTTAAATAACACAAATTGTAATATGTAATGCTTTAATTTCGACAAGATGTTTGTATAGTTTAGATTAGATTTGGGGGCTCTTTGAATCTTTAATCAATTAATGTCTATTGGAACTGCAGTAGTTTATGTGACAAATAACTAACATCACATGTTCGATAATGATTTGCGGGTTCAGGGCAAAATGCAGGGAAGACGGCAGCAATAGTAGTAGGAGGAGCAGCGGGAGTGGGCTTTTTAGTCATACTTTTGTTGTTTGCTAGAAGTTTACTGAAGAAACGTGATGGTAAGTGTAGCGTCACATAATGGTACAATGTTGTTATGTTACAATTTACGAACCTCTCTTTGATATTTGAACAGTCTCTTATGCCATTTTTTGTGTCTTCTGCAGATTATTGAAGGGGGCATCTGAGTTTTTAGCCGAAGCTTTTCGTGAGGGAAAATATGTGATATCTTATTGGTTCTGGATTCTTGTTACTGGAAAACTATTCGGGATGTGGGTCGGGGAAATTTTTGGGGATGTTGCCTGTTGATGAATGTTAGTTACGTAAATGATTTTTTTTGGAGAAATGGTGCGAGAAAAGAATGCATTTTTTTTTTTTTGGCAGCAATGAAAAAGTTTGGAAATAGCCATGTGAATGCCATCTCGATCTTTTTCCATCTTCTTGCATAATTTGTGTAGTCTTGGGTGCATTACAAACACCTAGAAGTCCTAGGAGTAACAACCACTTTGCTTAAAATAATGGAACAACTTTAATACTTTCCACAAAGCCATGTCCCTGTCTCTTTGCGTGTTTATAAATGCAATTGTGATTCATTCCTTTATCTATGTTTTCTTTCTGTGTTCTTCTCTTTACACTAGTTGAGCAGCTAGACTTTGCATATTTGTCTACTTAGAAACACGGGATCTTGTGCTCTCACGATTACTGATTCTAGTGGGGTGTTCATAAGTGCATCGCAATTGTTCCTAGGTAGAATACCTAGTAAGATAACGCGAAAGCTAGCTCTAGCTTTTGCGGGTTTTACATCTTTTAGCAGTTAGTAGTACATCACAACATTGTTGGCTTCGAGGCATTCGTTGTTTCTCCCTAACATGAACCGTGAATTCTGATGTTTAGTGTGTGTATATTATTATTATTATTATACGCTTTTCGCCATCATTGGCTATGGATTCTTGCTTAGAGGCTTTGATTCTCAATATATATATGCATTTGATCTTTGATAGTTACAGACACAAAGGCAGCCATTATCCCAGCAGGTATGGGCCTTTTTCCTCCCTGAATATTGTATTGTATAACCACAGTTCATGGCTATGTTTCTGCTTGCTTCATAGCAAAAGAATCTCTCAGGCTTAATTCACTCTTTTGTTTGGACTTAAAGGTTTTAAATCTGATTAAGAGAGGAATCTTGGATTGACTTTCTGAATACTGG